CGGCAGTGTCGCTGCGCTTGGCTTAGCGCCGAGACACTATCGTGTCTCCAGATGGTATTTCATCACCTTCTTTTCTGGTCTAATAATTTACTAATATCATAAATTATAATTGACTTTATAAATATTACATAATACCACAAATGTAAGCAGCTTTATCAGCTTTCGCAGTTTCAAATGTAAATCAGTCGACGCAGAATGTGTACCAATACATATCATCGCATATAATAAATGAGCCTACTCAACCGGAATAATCAAGTTTCTCTGAAAATGAAAATAATTATTCTATGATTATTCAATAAGTGTCAAATATTATTCTTGAAGAATAATTAAATATAAATAACTCGGAAATGCAGAGGAAATTCGGATACAAATAAAATTACTACAATATCTTCATTTATAATTTATATTTAAAATCCAAACTTTTTTTTATTTTTGGTACAATTATATCCCCTATAGGACAATATTAAATGATATGACGAAATCTTGAAATAAAAATTAAAATCTGTAATTATGTATATATGCATATACAGGGTGTTAGTTAACTATGTTACTACACTTAACAGAGCGATTTTTTGGTTTATTTCAAGTAAAAAAGTCAATATAAACATGTGTCCTAAACGACTTAATTTCCGAAATAAAAAAATTTTAACGTGTAGTAATAATCTGTTTATTTTTGAAAGAAATACAGCTTGAACTAGTAAAAAACTAGTCAAAAACAAAAAAAAACAGGCTTCAGTTCTTCTAATGAAATAAAATAATTAGATGAATTATTGAAAATGTTCACCTTGCGCCATGATACATCCATCGAGCCTTCTTCTCAAAGATCAGAACTAAAGTCTATTTTTGATTTTGTGACTTTGACTTTGACACTTTGTTTATGGTTGTGCGAATGATAACTCACGTGAAGCAAGACATATTTATGCAGGAAAATATCTCCAACGCAATTTACCGTTTCGTCAAACATTTGCGAACATTCACCTATATTTCGGAAACTAAATCATTTAGGATGCATATTTATATGGACTTTTTTACTTGAAATAAACCAAAGAATCGCTCTGTTGAGTATGGCGATATACTTAACTAACACCCTGTATACAGGGTGGGACATTTTAATCGCCCCAGGCGAATATCTCAAAAACTAAAAGAGATTTAAGAAAAAGTTTTATATGAAAGTTGTAGGCTTTCTTATGGGAAAGAAGGTGAACATAACGGGTTTTGGATAGGGGGCACTACCAAGGTCAGGTCAGAGTCAACATGAATTTTTTTAATGGAAACTCCAATTTTTTATTGCATATTCTTGTGGCACACCTCGAGAGCTTTCCAAAACGCTATAATAAAATATTTTTTCATGAAGTACTTTTTGAGTTATAAGTCTTGAATGTTATAGTTTCGGCAATAACATTACTCAAGGTGTGCGACCGACGGCTAAAACCTTTTTGAATGTTGTTCAGGATCACGATCTGGATAACACTTCTCAAGATCAAGGTCATTGAAGGTTGTTCCTCTAATTTTCATTTTTGCACTGAAAATTCATTTCTCCGTAAAAATGAAAATAAGTAGGGGAGACCAGGGCTAAAAGTTCCGAGGGTAAGTTGTTCCGGGGATAAGTTGTTCCGACGGTTATATCTTCAAAATGAAAAGGAATAGCGTTGTGTTTTCAATTGTTTCCGTTGTGTGAGTCGATCACGCTATTCCGTCGTGCACTTCAGTAGTGTCCGCGACAGTGAATCGTATAGTTGCAAGCAATACCTAGTCACGTACTACGTAAAGTAAATATTTTTCGGTCATTATTTTTTGGTCTATTTCAATTATTTAACGTCGATATCATTTATTGTTTCGTCTTTATGGATCAAATAACATTTAAGAATGTTGCATTAGTATTTATTAGACTATTTCAATACATAAGCAGAATAATCTCACGAATTGCCACATGTGTCGACAAGGGCTAGTTGTTATCGTAACTTGGGGCATATTGTAACCATAACTACTTGCCCAACTGCAAATGTGTAAATAGTTCCTGCTGTGTTTTTAGGATGCGAACATATAAACGAAAGATCGGAAGGGGCACTACTTCTATTGAGCCTTCTTATGCGTAAAGCTGCTGAAGCTGTTATACGAGAAGGCTAGAAGATAAAAACTGTCTGAGTCAGTTTTGTTGTTACTTGACAATCATTCTTCGCATATCGACATAAACGTTATTGAAAAAGCAAAATCTAATGGGGTCATAATGCTTTCTTTTCCTCCTCATTGTACCCATCGCTTACAACCATTAGATGTCAATGTCTATGGACCGTTCAAAAGTTATTGTGCTGTTGCAAAAGATAACTGGATGCGTAATAACCCTGGAAAAATCATGTCCGTCTATGATATTCCAGGGATTGTCAAATTTGCTTGGCCTTTAGCATCAATTCCCAACAATATAATTAATGGATTCAAGAAGATTGGAATATGTCCATATAACAAAAATATATTCACAGACGATTTGTGTGTATGAAGATAGCGTCTCACTTGGTGGAAACTCATTAAATAATGAGAGTTCTGAGTTTATTTTCTATAGTTCTATATACAGGATAAATAAATAGTTCCGACCATTAAAGCCGAGAAATCCAAAATTCAAAATGAGATGTCAAGTTCACACAGGGCCAACTTCATCTAAAAAAGTTTCTAGCCACAGTTTCTTATAGGATTTAAAAAGATACATAGTTCTACAAAGAGTTCTGACAATATTATTTTGATTATTAAACAATTTTTTTCACTAAAAAATAGTCTCTAAAAGGAACGAAGATGAGACGCTGTCTGATTTCAAAGAGTTCTGTTAATTTTATGGTACTTTTTCGTATAGTTCTGAATGTATCCTAATGTTTTCCGAAGAGTTCTGGTGATATCAATAATTTGTTAATTTTTTAAACAATTTTTATCACCCGAGGAAGGCGCTTTTCAGAGTATATATGTGAGACGCTGGCCGATAAGTATCATGAAAATGAAACATTTCATTAAAAGCAACCCTTATTTCTTAGTAACAACTTACCCCAATGCGAACAACTAGCCCCGTGAAGGGGTAAGAAGTTCCGCTTCGACCAGCCACAAATAAATGACTTCCTATGAAACATCTGTTACAATACATTAAATATAAACTTAGAATCTTAAGGTACAGTAAATTTAACAATAAATAAGTCAATAGTGAAGAGAATAACTACATTATTTTCTAGTCATTTTTTGTTTTTTCAAAATCGGAACTTTTAGCCCCGGTTTCCCCTACAATCTCCAATGGCCTCGATCTTGACAAATGTTATTCAGACATGATTCTGAACAACATTCAAGATGTTTTAGTCGTCGGTCATATACCTTGGGTAATGATAATGCCAGCGGTACTGTAACATGCAAACCTTATAACTCGAAAAGTGCTTCATAAAAAAATATTTTATTATAGCGTTTTGGAAAGCTCTCGAGGTGTGCTACAAGAATATGCAATAAAAAATTGGGGGTTTCATTTAAAAAATTCATGTTGACCCTGATCTGATCTTGGTAGTGCCCCCTATCCAAAATCTGTTATTTTCACCTTCTTTCCCCCAAGAAAACTTATAACTTTCATATAAAATAAATTATCTATATGGCTCAATCAGAATAAATCAGTAGTAAAAAGAATGGGCTATGAGCCAATTATAACATAAAGAATATTTAATAAACTTTCTTACATACATGCAAACGTTTCGACACCGATCGGGTCATTTTCAATGCAAAACAATAAACAAACTTATAAAATTCTCGGAAGATTTAGTTAAATTATAAAGTCCAGTACAGAATTCGGTTGTATCAATGACATGTGGTCCATATTTAAAATCGAAGGAGATCTCATCTCACTCTTTTTACAATTCTCCAATCTTACAAATAAATAATAAATTAACAATACGTTATAGTTTAGATTATCAAAACGTTTTTTAGTGAATTAAATTAACATACAAATTAAATAAAAAATATCTACCTTAAAATGTCTTAAAGATGTAAGTTAGACGCAGAGAGGAAAACGCAATTAACAACGTTATATTAAATAAAAAGTAAGCCATAATACGGATGGGTCTCAGATTTGTAATCGACGATGTCAAACGTTATGACAACAAGGAAACAAGGAAATAAGAAAAATAGTAACGGTTTTATATAAAACTTTTTCTTGTATCTCTCTTAGTTTCTGAGATATTCGCTTGAGGCGATTAAAATGCCTCATCCTGTATAGGGGAAAGTCGCCGATACAGACATAGATTAAAGCGACAGCCCCTTAATTATTTCTCAGAAACTAACTATTGAACTTTATTAATAAAATCATGATCTGTTCAGCTAATTAAAGAAGTACGAACTTATAATTCGTACATTTGTTTCTTGTTTCTATACCAAATCAGTTAAAAACAAATTCTACGAATGCAAAAATAAAGTTCTTACGATTTTATTTTGCAAATTGCGTAGTTTAAATAATAGTGACTATATTATTGATAATATTAGGTCATTTTAAATGCTTTTAGTTTGCTAAATCAGTTTTATTTATATTATTTCTTCTTTTAATTTTTCCATAATACGATTTTAAATGTAAAATTGGGATGGAGCGTAAACCGCCCTATCTGTCTGTAAAACAGACCATGAGCTAACATAATCTTTATAATGTTGCTTTATGATGTCAAATTGCTCTTTTGGAGCTGAAGGCTCCATATGAGAAACGATATGAATCGTGCATATATGGAAAAACTCTTGAAAAACCATTGCGTTACATATTTGCATCCTGCAGAACAGCGTAAAGTAAATATGTATACCATATAATTCAATAAAAATATTTTATAACGAAGTAAAAAGATTCTGGAAAATCTTATATACGTTCATTTGTAGGTAGGTACCTTATCCAGATAATTCCTATAAAAGAAAAAGAATAGGCATACGTAGCATTACTGCTTACTGTCAGTTTTGGAGCCCATTTTATCAGATGCTCATTTTAGCTTATCTTATAAAAAAATTAATTATTGCAAAATTGCAAATAGTATTATAAAAACCGCTTATACTATCTGATAAAAGACACTTTTTAATTTGTACTTATGTTTTTAAAGTTTTATTTTTACTTTTTGTTTAAGAAACATTGGCTATGTTCAGCAAGCTCAACTTGTTTCCAATATGTTGCGACAACCGTTAAGTGAGCGGCAGTCTTGTGAGATCACTCGAGCGGGTCGGACGTGTTTCTTCTCGTCTCGGGTGTTACGTCACCTCGATTATATTTTTGAAAAGCGTGGCTGACCGTCTGGCCGCCTGATCGGCTTCAACTGTGCACTGCATCTCTATACTGATAGTCTCTTCATTCATCTGGACGCGCGTCTGTGCGGCGCGGAAGCGTCGTAGTTGCAGGCGCCCAGTGTTTGAGGGGACGTCTAGCCATTTCCATTCTTATTGCATCATCTTTTTTATTCTACTTGCCCGGTTCGAGGGGGCCGGTGCATTGCATTCCGATTTTAAGACATTATTCGATTACTCATATTGACCTGATCTGGGGGTCGATTCTGTATTTTCAAACAAGGTGAAAATTACAAAAGTGAGCAAATTTACTAGGTGTTGACCAATGAATTTATCAGTATTCTAGTAAATTCGCTCACTTTTGTAATTTTCACCTCGTTTTGAGATACACAATCGACCCCTGGCCGTATCGTCCTCCTATTACCTACTTGGAAGCGAGAACCAATAAACAAAGAAGAAGAAGTTGAGTGAGCGCTTACCAATTGCTGAACGATTCTATTCTCTTAAGTTACGTGACTTATATCATCTATTTACCGTGGTATGACTTTATTTAGGTTAATTTGTTATTTTCGTCGTTCGTATTGTTTATTCGGTGAACATGGATTTATTACATTTGATATTAATTGCTGCTGACGATGCAGATGATGTGAGAGGTATAGAATTACACAAAAACGTGTCTATTTAGGTCATGTTGCTTATACACCGACAACATGTTGAGTTCAGGTAGCGGTCTTAAAATATAATGGAAAAAATGGCGTCCGCTCAGTAAACACGTTGCGTATTGGGCACTGACAACAACGCGTTCAGCATCTTTTCACTGAACCGTTGTGCAACCATTGCGCTTACTGAACGTAACCATTGTCTAAAAACAAAGTGATATATCGATATCGGTGACTTTCCTATATATATATATATATACAGGGTGATTACTAATGGTTGTACCAACTACTTACCATAAGACTTACCTACTGCATGACTTACCGACTGCACTTGTAATTTACTAAA